TTCCCTGAGCGGAAGTTACCTCCAATCATGGCAAGACATTAAAGCTTACAGAACCTAAACCAACTTAATAACTATAAATAACCTTAAGCAACGAAAAACAATGACCTAAATAACCGTAAACAACGATAAGCTTAAATGACCATAAACAACAGTAAACCTAATAACCGTAAACAACAACAAACCTTAATAACCGTAAACAGCATTAAAACCTTAATAAATTTAAACAACAATAAACCTTAATAAATTTAAACAACAATAAACCTTAATAAATTTAAACAACAATGAACTTAATAACTTTAAACAACAATGAACCTTAATAACAACAACCTAAATCAACTTAATAACAAACCTTGATAGCAACAACCTAAACCCACTTAATAACAATAAACAACCTTAAAAAGCTCTCCCTGCATGACAAAGTGTTTGGAGGAAAGTTATAATTAAATTGTCTGGTGCCCATTTTACTGAACAGAATCGTGATATAACAAGGTTTCTGAAGGAACTTAATTTGGATTTTTATAATTATTTCTAAAACTCAGAGGTAACGTACAGCAATCTTAGAAGAACTTCAGAAAACAGAAAATAAAGTTATTACCATGGGCTTCAGGATGGATAAAATAAGTCAACCAACTTAAAAATAGATATATATTATTCTTATTTGTGAAAATAATTATGTCGCAAAAACAAAAAAAATCATAGATGCTCTCGACAAGCTACTTTATCTAAATAATAAAATCGAAATGTGTAATAGTTCACAATGTTTCCCCTGTAAAGTTTCCAACATCGCAAATCTGTCATTATATACCCAGATGTCAGAAATAGGGTGATAACCATAATCCGCCACGAAGTAGAAATTGGGAAATCTGAAGAGCATAAATTATGACGAACTTGGACATTTTGCTCTTTCAAAAAATGCTTAAGTTCCCACAATCAAGAATTTCTGCTACTAATAACATTTCTACTTAAATTTCAACCAGTCATTCCACTGCTAGAGCTCTTCAAGCCAAAAACATTTATCAATCTGTATTCTTTGCCAATCAGTGTAAATAACTAACCCAACAGTAACTCCATCGCTGGCCCCCAATATGGGAAACTAGCACAATAGTATTAATAATAGTGTTAGTTGCTTCTGTCGAGTCGCTTCAAGCTATACGTGCCCCCCCCTGGGTAGTGCTCAATAAGTAACAGCGGTGAAGCCCTTGCTGAGGGTATAAAGATCAGGTATCTGTGTTACCTGCTGCATTAGAAGAACGACATAAAATTTAGCTACAGATACGTTTAGTCCAGATCTTTTTGTGATGAATGAAATTATTTATTTATTTAAATCAATGGGAGGATTAAAAAATATTTCTAATCTGTTATCCAAATGCGAAAATGGTTGCATAAATTACCGCCGGGTATGAGCATCCCTGGAGTAAACAAATTTACAAAAAACAAAATACTAGTAGTATCTACTGCCGACAAAAAATATAACCAACTTGCAGCACGACGTTCTTGCTGAAATATGACGTCCTTCCCAAAGGAACGTCTTCGTCATCTTTATCGTACTATTGGGAAAATTTCCGCGTTAGTGCCCAAGAATCCAACCCCAGTGGGAAAAGAAACAAAACGCGGCGGTCCACTTCTCTGCAGAGTGACAATTTGAATGTCACTTTGAATGGACTTGTTCATGGAAACTGCTTGGGCCTCAACTGCACCACAGTCACGTTCACTTGCAGAAATGGGGAAAACAAATATTTAGAGGCGAGTGGTTCCTTTCTTTTATTATTATTATTATTTTGTTTCGACGTAGTTTTCTTAGCTGTCACCATGGCCTGAATGCGAAACTATCGCAAAGCCCGCAGAAGAATGTGTAAGTGGCAGAAAGACAAAAAAAACGGCTTCTTCCAAATAGTATGGAATTTATGAAAGGAATATAAATCGACCCTTTCGAGTTTACGTAAAATGGTTTCAAGTTTATTTCGAAGTAGCAGGACATACAACTGTATTGGTAAGAGCTCAAATAATACATTTCGTAATAAATAAGTTGGGTCATTTTTTAATAAGTTGGAATTATTCAGTTTTTTGTAATTTCCATCGGTTTATTTTAAAAATTTATTCAATTATAAAAAAGTGTTTTATCTGCTCGGCAAATTTCAGCTTGCCATGCGTGAACTTTGGAGAACGGATGAATAACTCTACTAATGTTTAATAATGCAAGATATATATGAAGCAATTGATTGGAATACTACAAGAATGACCAACAGCCCATGAAAATAGCCATGTTGAATAGATCAAGAACTTCATGAAGAATGAATTGTTCAAGAATCTCTAAATATGCAAAATTAAGATAAATGTAGTCGTAAATGAAGAATGGAGTAATCTAAATTCTACAAGAAACGCTATTGCATACAATACCCAAACGAATATATCAAAGTTTAAATATTCTATGCATAAATGAAGAATTAAGTATTCCAAATACAATAAAAAGCACTATATATATCAACAACCTACGGAAAATACCAAAAGGGATAAATATGAAACATCAAAAAGAAGGAATGGATCAACGTACTACGAGTACTTATAACCATTGGAAATACAAATGCTTCAAATCCCAACCAAAACTTGAAAAGTGATTTAAACCATACTACAAAACACTTAAATCTAATCCAAATTCTCCAGAAAATTCCTTAAGATTAACATCATTCATGAATCCTTTCAAGAGTTAAGGGGACGAAACTACCATTTTCACCAAAATTTGTAATGGAGTTGCTTTGTTGCTTGGCCCTCATTTTCGGACAACGTCACGGACCCCTAACCAGGGCATCATGTTCACACATGATAAACAGTTAAAAATAAGCTAAAACAAGCCAATGAGATACGTTGAAAATGGCCCAGAACATCGTTTCCTCAAAACCATATCCATATATTTTAAAAGTAATACAATAAATAATACTAAACGAGTAAATGTGCGAGTTTAAGGATCGTGCATTCCTTCGATTTTGGCTTGTAACAAAAAAGACGTGCAATTGCTAACTAGGCTTAGAGAAAATTGCATTTTAAATGTACTTTATTCATTTATGATAATACAGATTTATTTTATAATATAGGTGAAAATCTAGAATACGGCACCCTTGAGAGAGTCGCCAAACTTGCAAAGCGGACTATTTCGCCAATGTTCCGCCAATTTCATCAGGGTTGCAATACTGTAATTGGAGGAATTCGTAACTTCTTTTATGAAAATTTTAATTACTATTTTGATTGCTATTTGGAGAATTTTTGTTTGTAGTGAATAAGAACATGTATTCTTTTAATTAAGTTATTCCGATGAATTGTTGATTATTCCTAAATTATTCGTATTTCTGCCACTGATACACAATAAAAAATTATGATGTTGCCATTCATGAAAATACGAAACAAATTAGAAAGAAGTTATTACAGAAGTAAAAAAATCGTATGTTTTATTATCATAGAATGAATTTGTTTTTTAATGCAGTTAACATAGTTAAGGTTTTATGGCAAAATGTTATTTAAATTTTCTTGGAAAAATAAATTTCTAAATATAGAACGATATAGTTCACGGGAGAAAAAAAGTCGCTGGAACATATTAAATTTTTCTGTGGTTTTGAGATGTTCTTCTTGTTTTCTTCATTCATTTAATATGGCTATGCAAGAACACGTTTTTAATGAGGCAATAAAAGATCAATTTCGCCTCCAACAAATATATATCAGAATAAAATGTGATTTAAATCTAGAATACTGTATCCTGAGGAAGTCGCCAATCCTTGCAACCGGCAATGTTAGGCAAATTTCGTTAGAGTCACAACGCTTTAATTAGAGGAATTCGTTAGTTATTTTCAGATCAATATAAATGACTATTTTATTGTTACTTTGATAGTTATTTGCAGAATTTTTTATAATATACCGGTTCTCGTTAGATCACCGAAGTCAAGCATCATTGGGCGCTTGATTAGTAATTGGGTGGGTGACCACCTGGGAACACCGCGTGCCGTTGGCAAATTTGGGACCTGAACGGCCGGAGTGTCCAGCGCTCTGGCGCTCGGTGCCACAGGTTTCGGGTTCGAATCCCGGCTGTGCCGTGGATGTTTGTAGTGGTTCGAATCCACTTTAAGCCGTAGGTCCTGGTCTCCTATGACTGTAAAAGCATCACGGAGCAAAAAGTCAGGCTTCTACCTACGGGTGCTCCATCACAACAGAAGCTGCTTCCTTCCCCTTCAATCATGAGTACGTATGGGCTCGTGGGCTTGGCTGGCCAAGTGAGATAAGAAACAACAACAACAACAGAATTTTTATTTATAGTAAATCAGAACAGAAATACATATTCTTTTAAATAATTGTTCCGATAAATTATGTATTATTCTGAGATTGTTCTTGCAACGTATATTGGCCATCATTTTCTTCTTAATGCTGTTGATATAGTCAAAGTTTTGGAACAATCGTTATATGAATTCGAGCAAAAAAATTTCTTTTTTATGTTTAGAAATAAATTCACGGCAAAAACGCCGCTAGAACGCATTAAATTTTTCTGTAGTTTTGTGATGTTGTTCTTTTCATCATTCGTTTGATATGGCTATGCAAGAACAGATTTTTACTGAGGTAATAAAAAGATCATTTTCGCCTTCAGCAAAAGAATATATGTATAAAAAGGTAAGTTATTCTTTGGTTTCTTCATTTTTATTAATATCGCTTTATCATTCGAATTCGGCATCGTAAATAAAGATAAAATATTATTTGACATCATGAAAATAGGAAACAAACATCAAAAAACATCTTTTTACTTTATTAACTACCAATATTTGATTATCAAATAATTAATTTCGTTTTAATACTGTCGATATAGAAAGGGGTTTCACGAAAAGGTAAGGTCGATCACGAAGAAATGGTTAAATAGGAATACGAGTTGGGCTCAGTGGAGATTCTCAGTCTCTGTAGTGCTTTAATTAGGGGTTAAATATAAAAAAAAAAAAAACCAGATGGATGCTAAGTTATTTAAAAGGCAGATTAGTTATGAGTCTTAACTGACTGCTCCGTCGAATTTTGAGATCCTACAAAGACTTGAAAATAAATTCCTACCCATGTTGATACATCCGCCCTGCTTTTTCCGAAACGACGATATCAGACATGTGCTTTCGCTCCTAAGTTTTAAGCAATCTGCTAATAAAACGGCACACTATTTTTACAATTCAATTCCCAGTATTAATAATTCTGTTTTGAATGATCTCGGCAGCGACATTTCTGATTTCAAACATCGCAAAAAGACCTCGCGCTGTTCATTAGCGTTTCGATATCCTCCTTTCAGAATGACTATGCAGTTTCTCCGCCTAGTCACAATTTCTCCTGTTCAATTGTTTTTGTTTCTATTGTTTATTTTTATTACTTCCTTAAAAATTATAATAATAATATTTAAAAAATTATCTATGCATAATTATTTGCATTAATTAAAAAATTAAAAAAATTAATAAGTTAATTTTTTAATAAATTAAATATACATACATACATATATATATATTATTTATTTATTTATCTTGCTCCTTTTCTTTCTAATCAATGGGCTTAAAGCTTAAGAAACTTCTTTCATTCACAAAGCAGGAGATCCGTCAATCATTCAAATCGTCGTCGTCGAGTCTTATCTGCTGGTTTTGAATTAAAAATTAACTTTCTATATTTAATAACTCACACTCTGAAGACGAAAAGTACGTCATGTTAAAAGTCCTAATGAGTGGTTTTCAACATGTGAAAGATAGATGTCAAATAAGTTTTAAAAAACTATGTTAAACCAACAGAATCCATCACAGCACCGGTCATTTGAGAGCAGAAGGATGAATATATGAATACAAATTGTCGGATGCTCCCTTCATCTTAAGTGGCATCTCGCTGCAGCTAATTAATTACCAAAATGAATATTTAATCACTTCAAATCTACTCGAAAGTGTAGTGCACAAGACTTCTTAATCCACTTTATTAAAATACCTTGGCAGGTGCACTATCACTTTTCTCTGATGCATTAGTCTTTCGTGAATTTTTGAATCCTTATGTGTTGTTTATTTATTATTAAATTCAACGAATGAATCTGTGGGTACTAAATTTAATGAATTTAATGAATTGTAACATCCATTTACTTTGCATTAATATAATTTAATAACACATTCAAAATTCACTATTTACTATATTAGAGTCTTTTTATTTTTAAGATAGGGGCACGTCTTATTCTGGATTCTAATGGAGCTATAAAATAAACAAATACAAAAGGAAATTATACATAAAAAATGGGACATAGGTTAACCGATTCTTCTAAAGATATGAATAAAAATTAATCAGCAGTAATTTAAAGAAAAGAAATTTAAAACCAATTCAATTAAACCCAATTAGAATGTCACAAAAGAGAATTCTTAATTTTGATCCTCGACATTTTGTTGAAAAGAAAGCTGGTCTTGATCGCCAAACTAATTATTTAACTATAAAAAAAAAAAAAATTATGGGAATTTATTTTATTTTTATTTTAAGTACAAAAAAATATTTTAAAACATTTTGAATGAAGTATTAATTAAAAAAAACCCCGAAATGACATATCTCGGAAAATCGTTAAAGTCCTGGACATTTCAAAAGATGTTCTGTTTAGTCCAACTAAAACATTTTAATTAGAAACTATTTTTTTAATTCAAACGAACTTTATCCGAAAGTTATTTTCAAAATTAACCAAAAGTTAGACAACAAATCCCATAATAGAACGTTAAAAATTTAAACTTTTATTTGACTTTTTGTCCAATATACAATGCGAAAATTTCCGAAAAATTTGGTGTACAACTACCCTACAAATTCTGCAACTGTTTTATTTTTATTTGCTGTAAATATCATCATCATTCTCCATCATAGGATTACTCACAGCTTCAACGATATCTAACAAAGGGTATTTTTATATTTGCCTTTGTCTAATAAGCGAAAAAAATCTGCCTCTAAGCATAAGATATACATCTTAAATTATTTCATTAATATTTCTGCAATTGTCGTCTTCCACTGCTCCCTGTTACTTCTTCATTGGAATAATATCTCCCAACAAATAACATCTTCGTCTTGCTCTGCTTGAATGTGCTATAAAATGAATATTGAAATAGTTGACTATGAACATGTAAAAAATGAATGCTAAAAAAAAAAAAAAGACTTCATTTAAAACCGAATGGAGAAAATCACAAAACTTGCTCTATCAGTTTTAGAAACGAAGGAAATAAGGACACCCATTGAAGAACCGACAATATTAACTACAAACAACATCATTCTGCAATAAACGACAGATGGAAGAAATCTTCGGACATCAATCATTTACCAGATTTTCACCATAGCGCATAAAATAAAGAAGCAAACCTGATTCCAAGTATACCCTTCCGCTCATCAAATTAAGTTTCGAAAAAGATTTTTAAAGAATTCAATCCAATTGTTCAGTTCCTATCAAAGTAAAATTCGACGAAACTGTCCTTCCGGCATTGATTGATACTGGAAGTACTGTAAATTTGATTCGTGATTAGTTTGGGTTTGCCGCTCTCCGGTCATTTTATTGCACACTACGCCTGTCTACGGGTACGATTGCCTTTCCGCCCATCTAGACATTACAACCGATCTTTTTGCCCACTTTTTGACTCTGGAGAAGTAATGAACAGGGACCATCTGCTCCGGTGTAGGGCTCTTAGTGGACCCACGGAGGAGTAGAGATATTGTGAAGCAAGATCGCTCATTAGGCAACGACCATGGTCTTAATTCTTGTTGGAACAATAGCACTAAGAACATTAGAACTATGTAACTCTTCGCCTAACTATGTAACTTTTTCGGGGTGTAATGTAGTTACACCTCCCAGTAATGCATCCTGGGCAACGTTTTTTGACGGCAAAGTGAACCACATTTTCGGCATGCGAATTTCCTTTGGTATTTTCAGGTTTGCCCGAGGCCTTATCAGACGAAATTTTTCAATGCCAAGAAATGTTGAAATTTTTGAGATATCAACATAAGCGTGCTGTACTTCAATGGATTCGCCGGCATTGCGACCAGTATGGCAATGATCAGGCAGATTTTCTCACCAAAAAGGGGGACTACGCTTTCTTGTAAAATTCAAAAGACCTCCTTCCACACACTGCAAAAACAGTTCATAAGGTTGTTTATGAGGTCAACACACCAGAAAGAACTTCTCAGTAAGATTGACCAAATACGGAAGAGACTGTTCCCGATAAACTAGGACGACAGACAGTGGTTTTGTTCCGTCTATCAACAGGGACAGGGATTGCCTTGCCGTCCATCTCAACCGTATTGGCATTCTTGCAGTGGCTACTCTCCCATTTGTGTAACACAAATGTGAATTTAGCTGAATGCCACCTGCGTGTCCTGCGGTGGCCTCCATGGAGATTGGTTGTTGGGGTTTAATGGCACAAGAGCCAAATTTGGCTATGCTGCGCCAAACAACCCTCAATGGAGAAGCTGACGCATCCAGATATTGGGAAGCAAGGAGCTTTATGGGGCTATATAACCTTCGGTTATCATCTGAACTTTTGATGCTTCTATTCTTGTTGTTACTTCCTGTTCTTACTTTTTCTTTTCATTGCGATATGCTATTCTGTTTGATATACCCCAACCATTGGAAATAATAATAAAAAAAAATTTGGAAACGTAATGACACATGCGTGAAAGATATTTCATGGATGCGAGGTTTCTTCTATTTAATTTTTGTCCTTAAATTGATCGTTATATATAAAAACGAATGATTTATAAAGAATACTGACAAAAGTAAAATTTCTAGACAAGCATTAACAAATTCATATGACTTAAACATAGAAGACGATCTTGAGCATGAATAACAGAATTATTTATGTATTTTTAAAATATTCGCTATTACTGCATCAGATAAATGTCATTATACGAGTCTGAATTAGCTGAGATAAATCACATTAAATATTTTGGGGATACTGAATAATTTTTAGTGATGAAGTCATAAAAGATAAAGCAGCACTAAA